ATCACTGATAATGATATTTGTTAGCAAGTATCATGCGAAGCATTAATCATGAAAGACGCAAATTGGAATGTAAAAACTCGTGCCAAAGTAAACAAATCGTCGCTTAAAGTAATCATTAAAAGGTTGACCAAAGTTACAGATTGTTTTATTTCACCTAATGTTTATAATTGACAATTGATCTTGCCGTAGTCGAGCTGCTCAAGTTTCTTCCTTCCTATTACTGGACCATACTTTCGGGCTGTTCCGTCAGTCCAATTCATGTAAAAATGTACAAACACGAAAAAATCCAATTATAATCAATGTGATTGAAATGCGATTAACATACATATATCAGTCCATCCAATGTGAAATAATAAGTAAATCAATAAACAAATCCTGGACAAATATCAACCTTTTAACCAGTCGATCAAAGCAAGTGTTTTGTTTCCTTTAGATACGTTTGTTCATTCTTACGTGGATCTTTGCAAATGATTCAAATGCTTGACATTAAAAAGTAACATTAGCATTGTAAACTAATCAACTATCACCCAAGTTTAGTGGAAGAATTGTTTTCGAGTTGCTTGCTTCATGATTCTGTGATTCACATTAGTTATGATAGCTAATTGGATCAGTGGAATTATCTGATTGCGATAAAAAATCATGTGACAGGTGAATAAATAATAAAATGAGTGCTGAGATTAGACAGATAAACAGAGAAAGGACAGAAACATATAATCTTAGAATCGCAAACAATTGTAAGAGTGAAATTCAATCCTCTGCAATTCATTAATCATTAATGTTTTCTGATGGTTTTTATTAGCATTCGAGTTTATTATTGTAGATTGATGTGCAAAGATGGATTTCGATCAAATACTTTCAGCCATTCAAGCATCTTTAGATTCACCAACACTGGGTACAAATTATGCTTCGCAATGTGACACTTTAGCTGTTCAACCATTACTCAACTTCATGTTCAAATCAAAGTCTGGCTCTTTGAAAGCTTAGTCGATGAGATACTGTAAAGTATTTACTGGATGGCGATAATTGAGTATCAAATGATGGACAATT